TGAGCTGGACAGCACACAGCACACAAGTTTCCAACAGTAGCAGATACAGCAAATCGGCGAACTTCGTGTGAACTTGCTTCCCAAAATTGGCGGTTTGTGGCGCATCCATGACCTACTAGCTATGATTGGAAGTGTTCTATCTTGTGGCCTACGGCACATCTAGGTATCTTTGCGTCACTATAGTATTCAGCGTCTTTGAAAGTTAGCGGTTAATGTTACTCGAAGCTTATAATTGTGGTCGTCGTCAGCGTTTAACATTAAAACTAAGTCCAAAGCTTCTGAGAATACGTTAATTATGTTCATGGTTATTAGCTTGCGCAATACAGCGTCATGTTTTACGTGCGACAATCGGGTTTTAGCCGCTAAATTCACTAGGCGTGGCAACGATCATGATCATGGTAAAAAAGAACCGTCCCGTTGTGACGTCAAACGAAAAGAGCTATCCGGGCACTCTGTGAGGGCGAACCCACAATTTAGGGGTGGTCGGGTTGGGATGGTTAAGGTTAGGCGTTAGGTTATGCCTACCCTTAGCCACAAGTTCCCAATCTCGCTTAAAACTGTCTACGTCAGAATTCGAGCACACAGCAGTATATATTTGGGTGTTCTTTGTACAGAAAATAAAAAATGTAATGAAAAATACAATTAGGCGTTTCTATCTATTACTTTTCATGGGCTCATATACCTTCTTTATACTCCCTAATTTGCCCGGCGTGCATTCGATGTAACCAAGACGGTTCGATTCAAACAACAACGGCCATGAATTCGAAAATTATCTTGTGTGGCGCCCATGCACGCAGCTAGCACGATATAGCGAATCATTTGCGGTAAACGAGCATTGGCAATAAATTATTGTGCGGCAGCCATGAAAATTCCTTGTAAACTTAAGCGGGAGTTTCTCAATATAATCTTCTTCTGCTTATTTTCTCTTTCGTTTTCTTTCCGATGCACTGGTCCTGCCACCATTATTTATCGTTTAGTTTTATCTAGCTACTGATCGATTCCTGAAGGGGGATGTCACAAACATTTTTGTTTGGCAAGAAAATAAAAAAAACACAACTAACATTTCGCAGTTTTTAATATATATTTTCAAACATAATACACACTGAACATATATTATTTATTTTTCCTATATTTGTATATTCTATATAGCCAACACAAATATAAACAGAAACCGTTTGGGCCACACTTTGTGCGGCACCAGGTACACAAATCACGATGACATCGACGCACGCAACCAGCTGCACAACGCGAGTGACGCCGTATTGTGTAAATAGTGTTAGGTAATCACTAATTCAAATCGTCAAAGATTTTTGCAAAATTTAACCCAACGTAAAGAACATTTATATCAGTAGAGCTTTAGGATATATTATTAGTAACGTTAGTACTACTTTGATGTAAAAAAAATTATACAAAAATAAGGTTTTACAACTATATAATTCAGGAAATGTCGTGAGCGTAGACACTTTACCTATGGTGGGTAACAGTCGGAGCCACGAGGGACTTTGAAGGCGAAAAAAAAAAAAAGTGTTTATATATATACAGCTTTTTTTTTTTGCGCTCAAGTCCCATGTTGAGTCGGAGACGCGCCTGGTCTGGTTTACGCCTACCCTAGTTCTAGTAACTCATAGCGCCGCGTACCGTTGCCGCTTGGGCTATAGAACGAGCCATTAGGGATGCCGCAGGACAAACTTAGTCCAGCGCGAGTCAGGCGCGGAACTATGACCCGCGAGCGTGGAGAGCACTGGCAGCAAGAACAAGCCCGCACAAACGTGCCTAACTTTGCCTGCCGCACAGTTTCCACCAACTCGCCGCTTTTCAATCAAGTTTACAACTCCGGTGTCCTTGCAGGTAATGCCACTTTCCAAACTATCGTTTAAGAATCGCGGAAGAACTGCCACTGAACAAGCTACACCGCCATTTTTGACAATCGGCCCCGCCAAGAATGCGCTGCAAGATCACAGAAATTCCTCAAATATATCATGCGAAATGATCCTTTGGATGCTACCAGGCAAACGGGCGGCATGCCCAATCGCTGGCAGCGCGCTGATTGGCTGCAAGCAAGTTTAACGTGAGACAGGGCTGCGCAACTAACGTTTGTTGACATCGCGGGGTGAGTCATGCGCCAATATTTGAGGATAGTTTTCTGTGGATTAGAGCGCATTCTGGCAGGTGAATTGCAAAAATTTGGCGGCGTTGGGTGCTTGTTCAGCAGTTCCTTCTTGCGATTCCTAACGATAGTTGCGAAAGTTGGTGTCACCTGCAGAACACCGGAGTTGTAACTGCATTGAAAACGTGGTGAGTTGGTGGAAACTGCACGCAGCGGCGAGTTAGCACCGATGTTGTTCATTATAGTCAATGGCGGTGTGTGCTGTTGTACGTGCGGGCTTTGTTCTTGCTGCCGCTAGTAGGTGGATGAGGGTGGCGGGTTGTGTTGGTTGTGGACAAACATTGTTGTTGTCAAGTACAAATATATGAATAGTAATTTGGTTCACTTTCATGGACAAAAACTAATAATTAACAATCTTTTTTGATCGCTTAATTTGTTACTGACAACAACAATGTTTTTGCTCCACAACCAACCCCAACGCGCCCGCACACCCTCCACGTGCGTGAAATACATACATGGATGAAATTCTTCCGGCGGATCCGTGGAAATCGCGCGGATTTGACAATGCCAGGGGCCGATTTTGTGAAAGCGTCTACTTCGCTTGAGAAAATTGGGGGGGGGTAACAATGTAAAAATTTGAATTTATATACTGCTCAACAGCACCTGACTGTAGACTGTTAGAGTGTACGGACAGTAGACTGACAGCGACAGTATACCAGTCGTATCTTGTTTTTGTGCCTACCAAAAAGAAAAGTCCTCGTCTTCAGCAGGCTGCTAGTTAGGAGGGCAGACATGGAGCTTATGATCTTGAGGTAGCTGAATCATCGTAACGACCAATGCCTGTGCCTGGGGGGGGGGACACCGGTTTATCATGTTGTTGTGTGTGCATGACTATGCACTGATTGTTTCATTCGCATTGTGTGTTTTTTTCATTCAAATCTCGTCGCAGCAAGGCAGCTGCGAGATGTCTTAGTCTTTATGTCTGAGTAAAACAATGCAAGCAATGGGTGGAAACAGAAAAATATCATTATGTCTATACATTTAATAAAAAAACTTGCCCTATTTTCAGCCCCCTGATTTCCTATTCATAGTTTGTTTGTTCCTTTTGTCAACTTGAAAAGGTGATTCAAGAGTCTCCTATAAGGCTATAATGTGTTCAGAATAGCTTAGAATGCACCAAATTGCACCATTCCTTTAAAAAAAATTCCAGGGGAAATGAACTACAAATACAGGGGCTAATCTAACCCGACAAGGCTGTTTGACTAACGTCAATATACACGTTTTTATTCTTTTATTATTTATTTTATTATTGAATGATTTTATGGAACAAAGGTATATAGGCAGAGTATATTATTACCTTATGTGTTACAGAACTGACACAAAATGCATCCAGACCTGTCATCACATCTACACACGGATGAGTGCAATGAGATGATCAAACAGTTGTCACAGTGCCATGTAGATGTAAGTAATTGCATTTATTTAACAGGTGAAGAACATTCTCTATAACTGGATACATATTAAAATTTAGATGTCATGTTTTGAGTAATTTATTATTGTGATAGTATTCAATAGTCTAGCATTCATGTTGATTGTATTTATAATTTATTTGTTAAGTATTCATTTTGTTTTTTAGTAAAGTACACAAATTCTTGGAGTAGAACATTGGTCTGTAACGTGAACGTATATTATACTTATTGTATAATAATTTTTATTTTTATTTAATTTAATATTGTAAAATAATATGTGCTTGCATATTTCTTAGACATTTACTATTCTTATTAGAAAAAAATAAACCTAATTGGACGCTGACGTGGTCCGTGTTACCGTACAACTGTGCTACCCCAGATGAAGTTGCACTTTTGAATTTCGATTTTGCACATTTTAGACTGGCAGCTTAATAATCACAAAGTTGTAATTATATTTATGCCTACCTACTATTCATCTTAATTACTTACTGTGTGCATAATCAAACTGATACGAATGGTGGCATACAAGAAATAGCAATTGTTCTTTTTTGAATTAACAAATAAAAAACACTCGATTGGTGTGTTTATTGCCACTGAAAACTGAATTTATGCAACTGTGCTGGATCAGCATAAATAGTGGTGCCACCAGAATTGTAAACAAACAATGAATATTTTTAATGTTAAAAATATTTTGGTGAATATTGAACCTCGAAATCTTATCATATAATATGGAGCTGGTTTAACTGAAAATATGTCTTAAACCTACACCAACTTTTTAGGAAATTATATTAGCCATATACTACACAAAAGGGGGTGTATAAGATAATATAATATCCCCCAGGGTTCTCCCCATTGCCTTTTAGTTTTAACGTGCGTTAGGTATGACGTGCATTCAAAGCTGTAGCTAGTTTATGACATCCCATAAATCCGACATGCCTTAATATTTAGCTGTGTTTATTTTTGACAATTCCTACAAAGTCGTACACTTATGGACACTTATGACACGCGTAATTCACTCCAACTTGTACAACGCGTGGAGTTTTATTGATAGTGCTAGAAACAATCTTTGCTGAACACGAATTTTCAAATATGTTGATTCCTTTGTTTGCATTCAGAATAAATATAAGAAGTTTTTGGGCGCATGCAATGACTTCAAGCGTGCGATGGACAGGTGCTTGAAGAATGAGGTAAGTCATGCTGGGTCCAGATTTTTGAAAACTTTGAAATTTTCAGACGGTTGTCAGATCTATCTTAAGCATTTGCATTGCCTATCAATTTTAACTATGACAGTGCTTGTATATTAAACGAGCAGCACATTGTAAAATGCATCCGATTGTATTCCAGAGGGAAACAAACAGACGGGAAAACCTGCGTAAGGCAAGGGAGAAACAAGCTGTAACTAAACAAAATATATTAAAAGAACGACAATCTTCTTCATCGAAGTAAAAAGTACGTAGTTCTTAGTTTTTTAAATTGGGTGTTTTAATAACAAGTTTTTTTCAACTTGTTAGAATAACTTTAGCGAATGGCGTTAAGCTAAATACTCACAAGCACCTCAGCTATACGATGTTAGATATAATCGTCAGTTACATAATTACATCAGTGCTGTTGTTTACCATTGCTGTAAATGGGCTCTTCATGAAGATCAACTATATTCATGTAGTAATACTTGGAAAATTAAAAATGTTAATAACATTTGTTCTAAAAATAGCCAAAACACAGTGGCATGGCTTCGTAGATATGTGTTATCTGGTTTAAACTGCAACAAACCTTAACCTGCATTTAATATTGAATTATTTATCTTAGGAAATCTCTTAAATAAAATGCGATTAAGAACTTTTTGATTTTTTTATAAAGATTTTTCGGTGGTACCATCTTCTTGTTCTCTTCCTATCTTCTCTGGATCAGCTTCCAAGCTCTTACATGCCGTGCTATATCCCATATGTAAGGTGCCTTCCATTCAAAGCTCTAGTCAGCCTCTGTATTTCTTACTTTCTCACTTCTGGAATGCCCAAAATACCAGGAACCTACTCTAGTTTGGGCCATCTTTCTTGGTAATCTTGGCCATGTATTACAACGTCGTTTACTGTGCATATGGAGCTGTGTAAAGGATCCAATGACTTGTAATGGCTTCCTCTGAAAGTTTTCATCAAGACCCACGAGTACTGTAGCAGAGCTTAACTCATTGATATCTGCCAAAGCATGTCTGAAGTTGTGAGCATGCTTGACGTTTAGTCCAGTTGCACGTTCCAGCATTCATCTGAAACACCCATTGTGAAGAATACCGGCATTGTGTAGACTCACATCTCATGATGGCTTCCTGGTCAACACCAGTGGAATTGTCATGAGAGCCGGCTCGCTCACTGGAACTCTATAACCCCGATTTTATTCGTGCGATCGAGCTTAGCCTTGCATCACTAACAGTGCCCCTGGCTGCCATCACGACAGGATGTTTCACTCTGTCAACTCTAAGGCTTACACGAACTCATTAAAGCCACCGAGGAATTACAACAGCTGCCACTGCTTCCACCTAACCAGCCCTGGATGATTGGAGTATTAGCACCGTGAGCCATACTAAGTTACTCAGTTGTTGCAGACACGTAGTTCGACCATCGCTGCTTTCGCGATTTTATTACGCACCCATACAAGCACGTGTAAATAAAAATGAAGCGTTTCACATGTCTCTAAGCTGGCATAACGACGTCTGTGTGCTGTAGTGTCGAAGACAGCTCACGTGTGCACAGGTGGTACACATACCTGTGTAACACCTTACTGTTAGTATTAGCTTAGCTACCGCTGCCGAAGATTTGCTATTATTAATCCAAGTTGAACATATCGTACGCTCCTGTATTGTTAGGAATGTATGTTGCTCAATGATTATGTTTAGGCTAACTTGTAAATAATTAGATCCGCGCAAATGGTGGCAGAATCTAGCTAACAGGAAAAGAACAAAACTAGCTGATAGACCATGTCTGGGTCGGTGTAGAGATTGCACCTTGACTCGCCTGTAGGACTTTTTCCTGACATTACAGGATCTAGTCAATTTTTTTATTTTAGCTGATCTACCAAAGGGTAGAAGCCTAATGGGATTGTAACAGCTGTTTGTTCACGTAGCCAGGGACTATTATTTTAGCAGTGAGCTTGACGCGACGCATCTTTTGTATCTAGCAGTTTGACACATCAGTGTGAATGTGTTGTACCAAAATGCAGGGTTATGGCTAAAATGTGGGGGAGTCTGGTGGTGGTCGCGGGAGAAAGCGCACGCGCGTGTGCGCGTTGCTTTGTCCTTGTGTGCAAGGAGAGGTGACGTCAGCAGATATTAAAGTTTATGCGGTTCAAGACACAAGTTTGGATTTCTACTTCATCATTTCTACATGAACTCTTAATTCAACGTTACAGGATCATACTATAGTGAATGATTCATACAACGTGGAGGTTTTAGGGAACAAGGGAACCGGAGCATTAAATTTCACGGAACAGGGGATATTGTCGAATTATGATCAGGAAAAAAGGGAACTGCTAATTAGATGTTTGGGAACAAGGGAACTCTGATTTTCCACAGTTTTCTGAGACTGTTTACAATAAACTGAAGTATTTCAGGGTTATTTCAATATAGTGTACTGTAGGGACCGTTAGGGTCCACAATTATAGGTCATTGTTGCACTCCAGCATCACGAGACAATTATGGGGAACAGTGGTAAATATTTTTGGGGATTAAGGGAACTGGAAAATAATTTTCGGGACCGTGGGAATACAAGCTAAAAAACATTTTAGGGAACAAGTTATTTTATTAATGGAGAACACGGGAGAAAATGCATAATAGTAATAGAATCATAGATCAAGGGAACATGTACCACCTGGGAGGGGCTCTACGAACAACAAAAACGGCGCTCGTGGATGTCTTGAAGATCTAGAAAGAGCACCGCACCATCCTCGAACAAAACAAAATGAGATTGAATATATACGTAACAACGAATCAGCAGTGTAGTCCATCAGTGTAGATGGCCTATTAAGTCTAGCACTTGTATTCTTATAGTACACCCCATCTACTTGTAAATCATTTATGTAGAAGAAGGCAGCAGATGGTTTAAACGCAACGATGACTAGAAGAGGAGTTGTGGCGGCATATCCTAGTGACACGTGTAGGCGTTAACACCACGTGTGAGATGTGCATCGTGAGCGGGAAGGTTCAGTCCAGCACAAACGCCGTTTTGGTTGCATTCTAACTGCATCTGCATAACTGCATTCTGGCAGCATCCCAACTGTAGATGCGACGTGGATTCGGAGAGATATTGGTTGATACTCCGAACTGTTCACGTTGGCCTAATTTCACTCGTGGTAGTTATGTGATGTCTGTATCCGACGGGCGAGCAACCTCATAAGAGACATGAGTGTGTAGCTAAGTGCGAGTAGCCCAGAATCACTAGATGTTGTGTACGGACTGTGTAACAGTGAAACAGACTGCAATGCGCGCGCGTGTGTGTGTGTGCGTGTGTGCGTGCGTGTGTGTGTGTGTGTGTGTGTGTGCGTTCGTGTGTGGTGTGTGCATGGCTGTACACGTGCAGGCACCTATAGCCAACTACACCCTAGCTTGTACTTAAGTGTACCCTAAGTACACTAAGTGTACTTAAAGGTACTAAGCTTGTACCCTAAGTGTACTTAAAGGTACACTTATCAATTTAAAGGAGGCGTATCGTGTACCGCACAAATATAAACATATTCCAAACACATTTACCCTTGACCTAATCCCATCCAATATTCATTAATCATGCACGTTATATTACAGCGGTCAGCACCTGTAATGACTTCTCGTATTTTTCATGCCGTAAAAACGGCAGGAAGCCTTTTAACCAGTAGATGGCGCAGCATGCCAACTTGTTAGTGGGAATATTTGCTAGAACACGGGCGTCGAAGGAGGGTCACGTGATGTGGCTGCACTTGTGATTAGGGTTATGGTCAGGGTTAGGGTTAGGGAAATAAGGCCATGTCTAGCACGGAAGTATGACTGTGGAATCTTTCTGTGGAAGATTTGGACTTTGAAGCGTACGAAGTGACTAGTGCTGCCACGTAACGGCACCCTCCTTCGACGCTCGTGTTCTAGCAACACCCGTGTTAACGGGTGCACCCCACACCGCGTTTTCCATAAATCTATCTAAAAAATTATAAATTACTACATGCCAAAGCAGAACAAGATCTACTGAAACAACCATCTTTCAACACAAATCGAACCGTTTAATACTTCCGTCTATACTCACCGTTACACCTTACATAGATAACTAACTAACAGCATATTATATACCATTAACAGTAAAAATATCATGATGAAAGCCGTTTGTAATATTAAATGCTGGCGAACACTTATACGGGGGGTTCGGTGTTCGCTTGTTTTGTAATTTAACAGAACTGTGCACGCGAACTGGAGGAGCCGGCGGGTCTTGCCCAATGTGTGCATGTCAGTGAGCACAATGTTCCTTTATGTAAGTTTACATTAGATTCACAAGCTTCAGTTTGATTGTCAACGATTTACGAAAAGTCAGTTTAGATTTACATGGTATCAATGGACAACGCTACGGTTACATGAGACATCGATCAAAGAAATTATTTGCGTTGAACGTGGATCTTTACTCCATGTGAGTGACATCCTATAACAGCCCACTCCCGGTAAGATATTACTATAGTATACGTCTATTGCATCAACAGCCATCGTGCAAAATTGTATGAGCACCACATGAGCACCATCGTGATTAACAGAAATATAGGTTTGATTCATACCAACGTGTAAGTCGCCGTTTTCCGTTTTGTATAATTATTATCGTTCTGTGCTGATTAAGATCATAATTATCCAAGTTTAAACAGCGGTTTGTGCAACGACTAATAACACAAATACACACTACGCACATTATGCACTCATACGTACATGCACCCCCCCCCCCCAAATACACGCACACACAAACCCCTACACACCGCGTGTGATATACAAAATACACGATATAATGACAACACTTTATACATAGAGCATCCTGGTCGCTGGTGTGGCATTTCAATGACATTATTTTTCGATTTAATTACATATCTCTGATGTCAGATAATACTGGCTTACGTGCACGTGTTGATTTCTCGTTCACGTGCAGCGAATGCTAACCGGGATCGTCTCTCCGAGGGATTAATTATATTTCGCTGGATGACGCTATCAACGAAGACATACGAAACGCAACGATATGCGGCCGGGTATATCGCTGCGATCAATAGCTTGGCCACGCAACATGCGCCAGAGTTCGCTTTGTTTAGCTCGATGCGAGCTAGAGTCCCTGTATATGGAGTTTATCTCTCTCTCTCTCTCTCTCTCTCTCTCTCTCTCTCTCTCTCTCTCTCTCTCTCTCTCTCTCTCTCTCTCTCTCTCTCTCTCTCTCCCTCTCCCTCTCTCTCTCTCTCTCTCTCTTCTCTCTCCCTCTCCTCTCGTCGTCTCTCCCTCTCTCTCTCTCTCTCCTCTATATATATATATAATTTATATATATATATCTATACACATACATACATATATATAGAAAAGGGTCACACGATGCGCCTAAGAAAATTTCACACCCCGACCTAAGACTGACGGAGAATGCACTGTTCACTTGCGTTCGTCGTAAACAACTCATGTGTAGAGTGAAAGTATGACGTGACTCCCAACTGTCAATCTAGTAGGGCATGTACCTTGTAGGTCTCACCTGTGATAGTAGGTCTCTTGTCCACGTGTGCTGTTTTAATGATTTTACAATTCGTTAAAAATAATAGTCGACGTGGTGTTCTCGTGCAACCGTTCCGTGAGAACCCGCAGCTATTTGACATAGAGGATGACCAGTCACCAGGCGCGACGAGCCGTATCGAGTATGGGATGGCTGAATCGGCTAGTTCGGGACGCTATATTAAACTATATTTGATTATCTCGTAACCGAGATAAATCACGAGGCTTTTTGTGATATGGGAATAGAATTCGAAGTCAACTGGGACGGGGGAAAGTCGAAATGGTTGTTTTTATGACATATCTTTGTATGTCTTCATATCTTTTTTTTATATATCTGTAAGTGTTTATATATCTTATATATATTTATCTTTATTTTCATGACATATCGGGGGGAAATGACATTTTTACCTGCGAACCTAGGAATGGACTCCCGTCCCCACTCAATATTTGGAATAGCAGCAGCATCTCGTAATTTCCATGTTGTACTTTCCCGCAGCAAACAGCAATGATAGAGAAAACTGTCACTCGTTTACGATTCAAACGTGATAGCAATGAGAACGCTTCGTATCAACCCAATGGGCAAGTGATATATAAGTTTTATCCATTGCTGTGCCACAACGGCATGCAATAGAGATACGTTATTGGCATGGTACTGTCGTCGCGCATACCTCCTGTATTATGCAGCAGTGCACGTGAACTGCTTGCTATCGTATTACTATAATTTGGCTAATCTTGTGTGTGTGTCCGATGTGTGTGTGTGTGTTGTGTGTGTGTGTGTGTTGGTGTGTGTGTGTGTGTGTTTGTTTGTTGTTCGCTTTTTTTCGCCCTGATTTGATCACTCAAATTCGCAGCTAACTGAAGATTATATTCAGAATCACCACGTCTGGGAGATGCGTTCTGGCCTGAGAAAAAAATCGAAAAAAGTTTAAGTATTAAGTATAAGCTCAAAATTTCGAAAAAATGCTATTCGGTCAATAGAATGGCAGTGGGTACAGCAGATCGCACTTCACAGTTACGTGGGAATCTACACTGCTTCTCTTGACTGGCCGCCGTATGAGCATATTCAGTAATCACAACGTCTGGGAGTATGCCGTTATGGCTTCAAGACAAAAATCCTATTCCTCATTAGATGGTGCCTACGTCTCAGATTCCCCCCCTACTGCACGATTTCCCCCGTCACTCTGCTTTGACGTACACCGTACTGACACAGTAGTCAGTAGTCAGTGGCCAGTAGCTGTGCCAGTGTTCTGTTGTACCCAGTGCAGTGGTTTTCTTTTCAGTTACATGAAATATTTAACTTTATCTGTGTCACTTACATGGAGTTTTTATTTTAAAAATAAAGACAACATTTGCTGGTTCTACGGGTATACTTTCTGCTAGTATGTATAAATTCCCATACATTAGATTCGCACACGGCTAGCACACGTGTATCGTTCAATATTTCATAGTGAATAGGGACGTAATAAGTAACCCCGCATAGGCACTTGGGAGTAATTAATATCAGGAAGTATAAGAGATCTTGAATCCTCCTGATAATAATGTGTGCGTTTGTGTGTGCGAGCATGCGTGCGTGCATGCGTGTGTGCATGCGTGCGCGCGCGCGCGTGTATATATATCAGGACAAGAGCTAATAATACCTCTTGATCAGGAGCATATAATAGATTCGTTGTCTCTATTCATGTACTCCTGATGTTGTAACAGGAGAACAGTTGATTGATATGTTTGATGTGCCCCTGATAATGTGTTTGTATATCTTATTCTCATGATATACGCTGAAGCTACTGCGGCCTTATCTGTGTGTACGCAAATTGTGTTGGTGCGCGTGCCTGCGTGCGTGCGTGCGTGCGTGCGTGCGTGCGTGCATGTGTGCTATTTAGTTGAATACCCAAGGTCACAGTAGCAGTACAGCTGGTAGCTTCCATATCTTTTATCATTTATGTGTTTTTATTAGGGATTCACAACTCGAGATAACGTGTGTGCGTGCATGACAGTGCCCGATTCAGTACAGATACGTCTACACGTATAAACGTGCTTGTTTGTGTATACGTGCGCGAGTATGCGAAAATTAATGGTAAATAAACACGAAATGTAACAAAGTCTTAATGTTTCTCTACTCTATTTCGCCTATAATCACCTGTAAGTGCCGGTCTAATGCTCATATGCAATATACAAGTAAACCGAACGCCCGTCCGCGCCGCGAAATAGAGTAGAGAAACATTAAGACTTTGTTACATTTCTTGTTTATTTACCATTAATTTTTTTTATTGAGACGTTCCAAGTGCCTGTGGTAGGAATGAGTGTATGTGTGTAAGTTGATAGTGTTTGATAAATGTTTTAGCGTGACAGGGAGCTCCCCTCACCATTATGTGCGAATACAGTAAACGCTCTCAATGGTGGGTATAGGAGTACGCAGGCAATTACGCGCTCACTGTCGCGTAGGCAGCTGATTAGCTAGCTAGCTAGCTGTTCAGTGAACAACACGAACAACGATCGACTGTCGAGATAGTAGCTCAAGTTACCTGTGTAGTTTTTATTGAATTACCCCCAATGCAATTAAGGCGATCGTAACTAGAGGTATCAAGAGCTAATAATACCATTAGTATTATTAGCTCTTGGAGGTATGTAGATATAGTTACGCGCCTGCAGAACTCACCAACTCGCGGCGCCACACACCTATACATTAGCTGCGTAGAATAGCATATATATATCAGGGGTGAATGATGACAAATTGACGCATTTGTCATTAATCACCCCAGCTATATATGTTCGTGCGTGCGCGTGTTCGTTATTTGCAGGTGCATGCGGATGTGCTGGTGTGGGTACAACGGGGGGAGTGTGTCGTCTCTCGCTCGCCGATCGTTGCCGGTGCACCACGTCGTCAGCCATTAGCTGAACATGTACTGTTGCATTCCGTGCGCGGCGTAGTGCTTGGACACGCTAAGTGCGTGCTGTGATTTCTCCCGCAGCGCGTCGACGACGGCCGTGCGGGTGTCGGCCAGCGCGACGACGCTCACGAACTCTGCCAGCGTTTCGATGCCGCGCAGCCCAAGGTTGACGCCCATGCCTGCAAGGTCGAAAGCAATCACGAGAGTCAGGCAGGTTAATAACCTCGGAGTAATTATCTCGGAGTAAATATCATGCATGACGACACGGTGCCGTGCGCACGGTGGAGATAATAAAATGATTATCTGGATCACCGAACGTACGGACTATATAGTAATTACGCCAGCGTCATATTAGCTTAAAGGCATAATTCGACCATCGATTATGCAAAGTTGACGAATGCTACAGTAACTGGCACCTTGTGTAGTTAATAAGTATATTACCTTATAGCCAAACGCGTATTAGTTTGTCCAATATCACTGCTGGTTACTAAGAAATGTCTAATTGAAATCCGCAGTCCAAGAAATCGGTTGTTGACAGTTACAAACCGCCATGCCGGCCGTAACCGGCCGTAACCGGCGAGGCGGTGTCATACAGATTACAGTGCACCGGACATTTTCGCACGTATGCTCGGCCGTCAGTGATTTCGATCCTTGTAGTCTGAGTGCGCATTCCGTACGTTATGGTTTTACTCTTG